GGGGGGGGGGGGGGGGGGGGGGGGGGGGGGGGCGAGGTCCAACCCTTTCCCTGCCCCTTTTATATACCATTTTTGTCAGAAAATGTACCCCTTTCACATGCCTTGTTTAGAATACTGCACCCCTTTTAACTGCTGTAAATGCACTTTCTTTCAAGAATGAATAATTCAACAAGCAGAACGGTTTTTCGACTGCACAGCCATAAAATGGATTTAGACACGCAATGACAGATTTCACCACCCTTTCTTATACTTCAACTAGTGAAATCTGTACCCTTTCACCTACCTGAAGCCTGAACAAGGTACCCCTTTTGGGCGGAATCTCCCCGTATAGGCCATTATAGGGAGTACCCCCACCCCCATCCCCCGGGGGGCATCTGCGTAACTGGCGGAATTGTTTTTGCTCGTGTGAGAGTTTTTGTTTTTCCCGTGTCTCCTCCCAATTCTCCGCACGAATTCGCAGCTCCTATGCTAAAACTTTGCTCGTGCTATAACGATCCCGCCGATTACACAGGCTAGTCAAGTGAAAACCAAGATTATTTACCTTTTACACATAAAATGTTTCCTGGTCAGAAAGTTAATCGGCAAACGACATTCTTGGTCATTCCGGGAGAAACAAAACGTTTGAAGAGGCAGTCCTGTTTTCTCGTTCGGGGTGTTTCAAACAGAAATTTGAGTCCCAATTGTCTTCCTGCTACGTACATTTTACGCGGCCATATGTCGGTAAATGAAAGTGTTTTGTGCAATTATCAAACGGAAGTTCCGAGTGGAATTTTCCTTTGGCGCGTAGAAGCGCGTGCACCATTTGTCCAAACCGTAAACCGAAATAAACTGATCAGTTTCCCAATGTTAATGCTCAAAGGGTTATTAGGGACCTTAAGATCCGACGACGGCGACGGTAACGGGAACGCCACAAAAGCAATAGGTTTAATAACCAAAACAACAATTTTGCACGTGCGTCACGCATTTCTTTGCCGTCACTGCACGACTACGACGTGAAAATGCCTAATTTCAAGTTGTACAGAGGAAGTACACAAGCGACTACGAAATTTCCTCTCTCTTTCTGAACTTGGATATTGTTCTTAGGAATTCAACTTTAGGATGGTTCACCCACATTTGAAAAAGTTAGTGACTTGCAGTAATCGCAATGAAGATTGAAATTACACGAATTCACTTTTCCAGCGACGTTTTCTCTGCAGTCGCCTTCCTCGGATCTTAAGGTCCCTATTTTATCTGCTGGGACGCAAGGTAGTGTTCGTTGCTGTTGTAGGAAGGCGTTATACTTATTTTTGTCTACTTTTTCCTTTAGGACTGCTGAAGTAGTGGCGCGCTTTCGTCCCCGCTGTCCTATCATCGTGGTAACACGTGACGCGCGCGTGGCACGCCAGATGCACTTATACAGGGGCTGCTTCCCGCTCATTTACGATAGACCGCCAAAAGAGAACGTGCTTGAAGAACACGATGAGCGGCTTGAATTTGCGCTGGACATGGGCAAAAGGATGGGATTCATGAAAGTAGGAAACGCGTTTGTGTTTGTGTCGGGTTGGAAGGCTGGTGCAGCTCATACCAACACAATCCGCATCCTTACTGTCATGGAAGAGAAGATTCATATCGCCAAGAGTCT